ATGTGAGCGGCCCGCAAACATGCCGATGGGGAGGGGTCTGAATTGATCTTGGACTCCCGCAACCCTTTGTAGGAGGGTTACAGCCTGGGACACGAGAGGTGCCTCTCCCAAGGCGGAATGCCAAGGGATGGAGGCAGCTTTTTGCCCCGATAGGTGCTTGCGGCACGGAGCCACCATTATTCCACCATCGTTACCCCTCATCATCGCACCTCGACCATCAATTGTGCGGATATTGAACGGGGTGCGAGATGTTCCTGGATGAAGATGGGATGATTGTGTTGCTAGGAGGTACGTTGTTGGCCTGGAATTAATAACTTTTACCAGACCCCCATCTTGCAACCACTGATCCTGTGACATCTAGAGCACCGACATTTTAGTGTTTTGTACGGTATTGTTTTACTCTGCTTTTATCTGTTTTAACTTTGGCACTTGTGCCTCTTTGTTAGCCGCCCTGAGCCTTCGGGAAGGGCGGGATATAAAAATAATAATAATAATAATAGTATACCGTACACATCCAGAATATATAAAGAAAAATAAGCTGCCCGGGGAAATATTTGTTAAATACTCAAAAAGGTCAATAAGAGACTTAATCCTGAAAGCAACAAGTAGAACTGTTTTGGAAATCCAAGGAGAACAAACTAAAATTTTAAAAGACATTCTATTTGAGATCAGAAAAAGAAGATGACAGTACAGAGACTTGGCACGGTTTCTTCAAGAACACAACACCCCATACAGATGGTGAACCCCGGAAGGGCTTACTTTCAACTTCAACGACAAAAAAGAAAAAACTGCCTCTGTCTTCAAAGCGAAAAAATTTCTTGAGCAGAACTAGGGGCTACGGCTCCTAAGCCCCCCCAAAATAAAAAGGATTTTGAAAAGAAATGTTGAGGAAGGAAATAAATAAAATAATGAAACTCTACTGGTCTGATAATTATCAGAAACTAATAACGGAGATGAGCACCACAACCCTAGAGTCGGATTCGACTGGCTTTCGAGCAAGGGAACCTTTACCTTTAAGAAGCATACACTCTAACTAAATTTGTTTGTGAACACTCGCTCAATCTTCTATATAACTGTTGTATTAACTTTCATGCATTACTACTTTGACAACAGGGAATTATCCTTACTTTAAACAACTGTATTAGCGATCTCTTGCTACTCGTAGTTGTAGTTTGTTCCCAAACCCTACAGGTGTGTAGTTTAGAAAAGCAATAAAAATGTTTTTTAAAAAAGAGTGGAAAACATTTTTGACCCTGCCAGTTTTGAAAACACCTCTTCTACATGTGGCAATCGACGGCTATCAGCCACAGTAGCCTTATCTGGTTCTCATCAATCTACACAAAGGCGAATACTTCCATCCTTCTTCCTCATCACATCTATAGGTGAAATCCACGCTGATGAATCAGACTCTTCAATAATATCCATCTGAGCCAACTTCTTAAGCTCCTCTGAAACAGCATCTCTAACAGAAAATGGTAAATGCCATAACTTCTGCCACACGGGGAACATGTTAGATCTCACTTTTACTTTCTGAATAATCCCTTTGTGTAACCAAGTTCCCATATGGAATTATCCCCACTCACAACTGAAACTACCCTTTGCAATGACTCAATGTCTACTTAGGGAGCAACAATACATCCATCAACAACTTGGGGAGCAACAATACAATCATCAGATTTAATGTGGCAAATCAGTCCCTACCATTAGGCACGATATAAAAGTCTACTGCTACACGATATGCACCAAACCTCACTTCTGCACAAAAACAACCATATAAAGGTATATGATTTTCTAAAATAACATACCAACTGTAATTTTGGTTCCACCAGTTATTGTTTAGATAAACATATGGAACCGAGGTCCATCAGTGGCTATTAATAGCCACAAGGTATAGATAGGAACTCTCAGTCTGGGGCAAGTGATGCTCTGTATTCTTGCTCCTGATGGCCCCTGGTATTTTTGGCCACTGTGTGGACCTCCTGATGGCCCCTGGTATTTTTGGCCACTGTGTGACACAGAGTGTTGGGCTGGATGGGCCATTGGCCTGATCCAACATTGGCTTCTCTTATGTTCCTATGTTAAGAGCAGAGGTCCATCGGGGGATATTAGCCACAAGGTCTAGACAGGAACTCTTGGTCTGGGGCAAGGGATGCTCTCTGTCTTCTTGGTGCTTGGGGGGGGGGCAACAGTGGGAGGGGCTTCTGGTGTCTTGGCCCCACTGCCGGACCTCCTGATGGCCCCTGGTATTTCAGGCCACTGCGTGACACAGAGTGTTGGACTGGATGGGCCACTGGCCTGATCCAACATTGGCTTCACTTATGTTCTTATGTTAAGAGCAGAGGTCCATCAGTGGCTATGAGCCACAAGGTATAGATAGGAACCCTCGGTCTGGGGCAAGTGATGCTCTGTATTCTTGGTGCTGGGGGGGGGGACACAACAGTGGGAGGGGCTTCTAGTGTCCTGGCCCCACTGCTGGAACTCCTGATGGCCCCTGGTATTTTTGGCCACTGTGTGACACAGAGTGTTGGACTGGAGGGGCCACTGGCCTGACCCAACATTGGCTGTTCTTATGTTCTTGTATTCACTTTTAAATTTTGCAAATTAACGTGAATCAGGTAATATAGAGACTGCTGAGCCAGTCTCCAGCATCCACTCAATATCCTGACCTTCTCCAAAAGGAGTTGGGGGGCTCTTAACATAAAACTTTCTGCTAGTGATACTCCGATCCCCACTCAGAACAGTCACTTTGGGCACACACACAATGCAGCAAGAGGAGGAGGAGGAGGAGGAGGAGAATGGATTTATACCCCGCCCTTCACTTGGGGTCTCAGAGCGGCTGACAAACTCCTCTCCCTTCCCCTCCCCACAACAGACACCCTGTGAGGGGGGTGGGGCTGAGAGAGCTCTTGACAGAAACGGCTCTTTTTCAAGGACAGCTGTGCCAGAGCTTATGACTGAGCCAAGGTCATACCAGCAGGTGCAAGTGGAGGAGTGGGGAATCAAACCCGGCTCTCCCAGATTAGAGTCCGCACACTTAACCACTACACCAAACTGGCTCTCTGAGATCTATCATCATTGGCGGAAATTCTTTCCTCGCACACCTTGATGTCACTATACACCTTGATCTTGTCTCCCCTTTATCATCTCTTTTCTAGACTGGAAAGTCCCCAACCCTTCCGCCTTTCCTCCAAGGGAAGGTGCTCCAACCCCTTAATCATCTTGGTTGCCTCTTTTGGACTTTCTTCACCTCTGCAATGTCCTTTTTGAGATACACCAACCCGAACAAGCACACATTATTCCAAAATGAGGTCGCACCACAGTTATACATAAGGGCATTATAATATTGGCTGTTTTATTTTCAATCCCTTCTCCTTTCTCACTGTCGCAGGACAATGAGAACACATTTTCATCGAGCTATCCACTAAAACCCCAAGGGCTGTTTCAATCTCAGTCTCAACAAGTTCAGACCCCATCAGCATATATTTAAAGTTAGGATGTTTTGTTCCAATAGGCACCCACTTATGTTCTTGTCCCCTCACCCAATTCAGAGAAATCCTTCCTGGCCTCCTTCACCATCTGCCCTGGTTTTCACCTTCCTGAATAATTTGGTATTATCTGCAAACTTGGCTACTACATGCTCACCCCCAGTTCCAAATAATTTATGGGCAAATTAATTGGGTTGGTCTCCATCTTTGTGGAACCCCACAGCTTACTTCCCCCGCATCCCAAGATTTAAGTGACCAAAAAGATTTCCTGAGTATAAGTTTGCAAGAATCAAAGCTCCCTTTGTCAGATGTGAGTATCTGCATCTTGTACAGTTGTATCCAACAGAGGGAGCTCCGACTCTTAAAAAACCATATTTCAAAAATCTGGCTGGTCTTTAAGATGCTCCTGGACTCTTGCTCTTTTCTCCTGCTACAGACAGACTGACACGGCCGCCCATCTTTATCTACTCTGAAGAAGTGAGCCGTGACCCACGAGAGCTCCTCCCCCGCCACAGATTTTGTTTGTCTTGAAGGTGCTCCTGGACTCTTGGCTCTTTTCTACTGCTACAGACAGACTAATACAGCAACCCATCTTGATCCGGCTCCCCTGTGAAACTTCCCTCCATTACAAGAACTGTCCCTTGATTCCTACGCTTTGCTTCCTGTCATTTAACTAATTTTTAATCCATAAGGGAACCCGTCTTCTTATCCCATGACTCCTAAGTTGACTCAGGAGTCTTTGGTGAGGTACCTTGTCAAAAGCCTTTTGGTTGTCCGAGTATACAAAGTCTACCGGGGTCATTATTACCTACGTTTTGGTAGATAATTACCTACATTATTATCTACCCATATCTTCCTTTTTAGTTCGTTTTCTTAAAGAACTCCGAAAGGTTGGTGAGGCAGGCCTTCCCTTTGCAGAAGCCGTGCTGATTTTCCCCTCTGCAGGCTTTGTTCCTCAAGGTGCTCCGTAACAGTTTCTACTAATGTACCCAGAACAGATACGGCCCCATAATCTCCTGGGTCCCCCTCTGGACCTCTAAGAATCAGTGTGAGATTTGCTACATTCCAGTCGTCCAGCACAGAGGCCGATTCTAGGAACAAATTACAGATCAGCACTTTTACCCGTGAGTTCCTTAAGGAACCCTTAAGAACCCTTGGGTGTTTACATCATGGGGCATTCTGCTTTAATATTCTGTTTCAAAAAAAAGCAACCACTTCTGGAAGGTCCTAGGAAGATGGGGCACAAAAACCGGGAGGAGGAGGAGCCTGTGGCAGACGGCCTCGGACACGCGTGGTGGGGGATGGGGCCGTGGCTCCCCATCCCCTCTCAGTGCTACTCAGAGTGGCCTCGTAGACCAAAGGGCCCTGGAAGCCTCCCCCCCCCCTCCGCTGGGTGTGACGTGACCACCTGCAGAGGAGGCAGCAGCATGGTAGGGCCCCAGGATCCAAACCCAGCCAGGCACCAAGGGAGACGGAGCGGCCCCACCAGCAAGAGCAGCGGCCGAGAGGCCTTACTGTGGATCTCTATCAGCTCCGGGAGGTTGGGGAAGAGCAGCGCCAGCTCGTCGCGGGACAGCAGGTTCTCCTTCCTCATGCGCTGGTAGAAGACGAGGTCCAGGACCCGCAAGATCCGCAGGTGAGAGGCCTCCGTCACAAACAGCTCTGCACAAAGCGGGTGGGGGTGGGGAATCGTGAGTGAGACAGCAGCCGGCCCTGGAAGCCGCACTGCTGAATGAGCGCAGGCAGCCTGCTCCCTGACGGCCTGGCAGGGGGGCTACTCTCTCCTCCGGGGTTGGAACGGAGGCCAACACTCTCCACCCAGGCTTCCTCTAAGCTGCAGAGTCCTGGGAGCAAAAACTCTACTTTGCGAGCTCCTGGCATTAAAGTTGTGAGCGAGCAATGCGGCTCCTGCAGAAACTAGTCTGCTCTGGAGCCATCCCTCCTGAGCCAAGACAAAAATGTGTGAGTTGGAGGCTAAAGAACTGTGGGCTAGCTCACACTAACTCAGCTTAGAGGGAACACTGGTCTCCACGGGGGGGGGGGAGCAGTGGGTTGCAGACGCCTACCAGTGGTCTAGGCGATCGATTCCCTATTTTCTGCCTAGCCTTTCTGACCTTCCTAGTGGCCAGACCCGGGTGTCAAAGCACCCGCACACCCCTTCTTGTTCCCCAGTGGACCTGCCACTGCCCCCCCCCCACCGCCCACATATGGGAATGGGTTTGTGTCTTGCCGGTAATAATAATAAGAAGGAGGAGGAGGAAGAGGAGGAGGAGTAGATTGGATTTATACCCCATGGCCCTTCACTACCCAAAGGAGTCTCAGAGCGGCTGACAAACTCCTTTCCCTCCCCCTCCCCACAACAGACACCCTGGGAGGTCGGTGGGGCTGAGAGAGCTCTGACAGAAACTGCTCTTTTTCAAGAACTGCTCTTCTCAGAACTATGGCTTGCCCAAGGCCATCCAGCAGCTGCTGTGCATCAAGTGGAGGAGTGGGGGAATCAAACCCAGTTCTCCCAGATTAGAGTCCGCGCACTTAACCACGACACCAAACTGGCAGAAGAAGAAGTAGAAGAAGAGATTGGATTTCTACCCAGCCCTTCACTACCCAAGGGAGTCTCAGAGCGGCTTCCAAACTCCTTTCCTTTCCCCTCCCCACAACAGACACCCTGGGAGGCGGGTGGGGCTGAGAGAGCTCTTTTTCAACTCTTATCAGAACTATGGCTGGCCCAAGGTCCTCCAGCCAGGTGCAAGTGGAGGAGTGGGGAATCAAACCCCACAATGTGACTCACCGTTGATGACCTCCTGGCGGTCGACCTCCCTCTGCGGCAGAAAGGGCACCACGTCCCGCCCGACGGTGTGCTGCCAGTTCTGGGCGTCCGGCTCCGGCTCCAGGTCCGAGAAGTGGCTGAAGTCGTCCTCCAGGACATGGGGTAGGGGGGTGTCGGTGCTGAAGCCCAGGCTCGGGGACTCAATGCTCCTGCGGGGGGGGGGGGCGAGAGAGCAGCTGCCCAAAACCTCCATGCACACCCTTGCCTGGCCCCAAGCGGCAGCATAAGAACCGCCTCCCCCAGCCACACTGGTGCTCTTTACAGGAACGGACACGGGGACCAAGAAGAGAAAACCATGCCAGGCACTTCATGCGCCAGTGGACAGTCTCCAAAAATGAACAGCAGTACTTATGGATAATAGTGCATCAAAAAGACATTAATAAAACAGTTACATAATGATGAAGGAAGGACTAGTAACAACAACAATAGCCAGTGGTGTTCCAGAATCAGCATAAGGACGTAAGAGGAGCCATGTTGGATCAGGCCAGTGAGGGTCCATCTGGCCCAGCATCACGCAGTGACCATAGGCAGTGGCCAACCAGTTCCTCTGAAGGGCCAGCAACAGGGCAGGGAGGCCGAGGCCTTCCCCTGAGAAGAACCTCAGAAGAGCCCTGCTGGGTCAGACCAGGGAGGGACCCTCTAGTCCAGCATCCCGTCTCACACAGGGGCCAGCCAGTCCCTCCGGAGGGCCAGCAACAGAGCAGAGAGGCCGAGGCCTTCCCCTGAGAAGAACCTCAGAAGAGCCCTGCTGGGTCAGACCAGGGAGGGACCCTCTAGTCCAGCATCCCGTCTCACACAGGGGCCAGCCAGTCCCTCCGGAGGGCCAGCAACAGAGCAGAGAGGCCGAGGCCTTCCCCTGAGAAGAACCTCAGAAGAGCCCTGCTGGGTCAGACCAGGGAGGGACCCTCTAGTCCAGCATCCCGTCTCACACAGGGGCCAGCCAGTCCCTCCGGAGGGCCAGCAACAGAGCAGAGAGGCCGAGGCCTTCCCCTGAGAAGAACCTCAGAAGAGCCCTGCTGGGTCAGACCAGGGAGGGACCCTCTAGTCCAGCATCCCGTCTCACACAGGGGCCAGCCAGTCCCTCCGGAGGGCCAGCAACAGAGCAGAGAGGCCGAGGCCTTCCCCTGAGAAGAACCTCAGAAGAGCCCTGCTGGGTCAGACCAGGGAGGGACCCTCTAGTCCAGCATCCCGTCTCACACAGGGGCCAGCCAGTCCCTCCGGAGGGCCAGCAACAGAGCAGAGAGGCCGAGGCCTTCCCCTGAGAAGAACCTCAGAAGAGCCCTGCTGGGTCAGACCAGGGAGGGACCCTCTAGTCCAGCATCCCGTCTCACACAGGGGCCAGCCAGTCCCTCCGGAGGGCCAGCAACAGGGCAGAGTGGCCAAGGCCTTCCCCTACTGTTGCCTCCTGGCTCTGGGATTCAGAGGTTGTCTGCATACTTGGATTGGTGAGCATTCACAGAATTACATCATATAGAATTTGGGTGGTCAGTGAAATACTTAAAAACACTTTAGATCTTAGTGCTTAATAAACCAGGCCAGCGCTCTATGTGAAAGGCCTTTTGTGGACTCACTACTTAGATTTTCCAGTGTATTCAAAATGGGTAGATCTCTACATGAGAAATCATTTGTGTAGGATGGATCACTTATAATTTTCTGCTGGGGGGAGGTTCTGGCCAATAGGTGATTTTTAATAGCAGTCGGAATTTAAGTCCCCACCCCCACCCCAAGATGGCAGAACTGGCAGCAGGGCAGCGGACATTTGTGCCCCCCCCCCGCTCTACTGGGCCTCCCCTCAGCGGGTCAGAACTAAGGACCAAATCTGGAAAGAGAGGACACCTGTGAGGCTTTAGCTATAACTTGCACCAGATGACTGTTAGACTGTTACAGTCGGGTTAGAAGGGATAAAAGGAAGCACTTCTTCACCCAAAGAGTGATGAACACCTGGAACTCACTGCCACAGGAAGTGGCAGCGCCAAAAGCATGGACGGCTTCAAGAGGGAATTGGATAAGCATGTGGAGCAGAGGTCCATCAGTGGCTCTTAGCCACAAGGTCTAGATAGGAACTCTCGGCCTGGGGCAAGAGATGCTCTGTCTTCTTGGGGCTTGGGGGGGGGGGGGCAAGAGTGGGAGGGCTTCTGGAGTCCGGGCCCCACTGCTTGCTGGACCTCCTGGTGGCCCCTGGTATTTCTGGCCACCGTGTGACACAGAGTGTTGGACTGGAGGGGCCACTGGCCTGATCCAACATGGGCTTCTCTCTTACGTTCTTGTGTTGTTGTATTTTATTGGCGTTTTAACTGTTTTAATTTTTGTATACTGCATACTGTTTACCCTAACCCTAACCGTGAGCCTGCTATGCAGGGAGGGCGGGATATACATCTAATTAATTAATTAAATAATTAAATAAGTAAATAAGCATGGACTCTGACCGCCGCAGGCTTTGGGCTTGCCAGTTCAGCCTCCGGCAGCCGTTGTCATTTCAGAAGTCAGGGGGGAAACTGAGGACACACAGCGGGCGAGAGGCCCCCGCAACCCACCCCCTTTCCCTCTGGAGGGAGCCCCCGTCCTCCTCACCTGCGCCCCATCTTGGGAGTGTAGGGTGGGGTGGGGTTTTCCAGCGACCTGCCGACAGAGGAAGAGATGAATTCAGTCCGGGACTGATCCGGCAAAGACTGAGCAAGGGAAGAACAATGCAGAATCCCCCCCGCCGCCGCAAAAAAGGGGCCCCCACAGGCCGGGGGGGGGGGGGGGGGAGTCGAGGAGAGCCCCGAGAAATACACGATGAAGGCTCACGGCCCAGAGGAGCGGGCAAGACGATGCCCCCCTCTGGCGCAGCAGGCATCTTGCGCCCCCAGCGCCACACACCCCCAGCTGCAGGGCCCCTACCTGGCCGAGAGGCTGGAGGCCGAGGAGGAGGCCGACTGGTGGAGCCGGGTGGCTTCGGCCGCGGCCTCCATGTCCACGTCGCTCCGGGAGCGAGGCACGTTCTCCGCCTTCCGCAGCCGCTTCAGCTCCTCTCGCCCCTTCAGGCTCTCCGACCGGCCGAGCTTGACCTCTGCCCTGGAGCTGAGGGAGAGACCCAGGCTTGGGGGGGGGCCTGAGCGGAAACGGGCCCGCAGGCACCCTGGGGCCCAAAGCCACGCCGCCCTCCCGTCCCAAAGCCCGCTCCTGAACCTTCTGTCTGAAGGTGGGCTTCCTCAGGAGGAACCCCGGTGTGGGGGGACACACAGCCGTGTGCCGTGCCGCACTCGGGCCCAAGGGGGCGCTGTACTGAGGCCGGCCACACCCTCCTGGCCGTCCCATCATCCTCTAGGGGTCAATCCCCGTGGCCAGAGGCAGGGAGATCTCCGCTTGGGTGGACCTCCGCAGGCTCCGCTCCAAAGAGCCCCGAGCCCAGAACCCCGCCTGGCCCGGCCGGCCACAGGCCCCTCCTGGGGAGGCCGTGCCCCCTCCCCCGCCTCCTACCTGCCCATCTCCAGGAGGTCTTCGGGGAAGCTGCCGGTGGAGAGGCGCTGGAGGCCAGGCTCCTGGGGGTCGTAATACTGGCTGTTCTCAAAGTGCTGGATGATGTTCCTCACGTTGCCAGGCTTAACTGAAGACACAACAGGGCCGGGGTTTGCTGGCTGGAAGGCACTGCCTCTTTCGCCGCGCTGGGCAGGAGGGTGCTGGGCGTGCCGGGAGCAGAGGCTCTTCGGGGCAACCTGCAGCTCTTCGAGGCAAGTCGGCTCCTGCGGCTTCCGCAGCCCCGGGGGAAGGGGGGAGCAAGGCTAGCCACTCTTGCCCAAAGCAGCCTCCTTCCCCAGAGGCACGGGGCTAGCCTCCCTGCTCGGGGAGACTCAAGGGCCAGCGCAGAGGGGCCCCCCTTGAAAGAAACTGTGGCCCCTCCAAGCTGCGGCCTGCCCACCACAGCTGCCTCCAGCCAGCCCCAGTGGGAACGGCAAAGGCCACGACGGAGAAAGCGGGCGGGCCGGGAGGGCAGAGGTCAGCGAAGGGGGTCAGCCCGGCCGAAGGGCCACCTCGGCTCAGCTGGGCCCAGGGCAGCACCAGCAGCCACCCGTGCCCACTCAGGGGTGGTAGTGGTGGTGGTGGTATGGGGGGCGTATGAGGGGGTGTTACCTCCCTACTGCCAGGGCAATTCCTCTGCCCCCCCCCCCAAAGGCAGGCCATGCAGGTGGCTCCCGGAGTGAGCAGGACGGACCGAAAGGGCTGCCTGCCTGGGCCCAGCCAAAGTCGAGCGGCAGCACCAGCCAGGAGGGGCTCAGACAGGGAAGCCGGGAAGGTCGAGACCCCCACGGGCGGGGGGGCGGGGGGTCCAGCCCCAGGGCTCCAGGAGTCATCCCCAGGCTTCTGGGCTACGGGGCCACCGTGGGAAGTCGGTGGCTATTCCGCAGAGCCATCTCCCCATAAAAGACCCCTCCCATAATTGGGGGACACATGAGATGGGGGGAGGGGGTTCCTTTTTACCTTCAACGGGGGACAAAGGGACATGAAATGCTGGAAAGGAAAGGAAAAACAAGATGGGATGTCAAAAATCAAGCATTGCACGGCACAATGGAGGATGGACAAGGAATGCTCCGAGAAGAGAAGTCAGAGGGGAGAAAACCCCGCACGGCGAGCAGTGTTCCCTCTAAGCTGAGCCAGTGTGAGCCCGCTCACAGTTTTTTAGCCTCCAGCTCACACGTTTTTGCCTTCGCTCAGGGAGGAGGGCTCCAGGAGAGCAAACTGATTTCTGCAGGAGCCAAATGGCTCGCTCACCACTTTAAGGCCAGGAGCTCACAAGGTAGAATTTTGGCTCACAAGACTTCACAGCTTAGACGGAACATTGGCGGCGAGCCCCAGCCCGGCCCAGGAAGCAGAGGGGCCAGGCGCCCCCCTCCAGGCAGCTGCCCGCCTCTCCTCCCCCCTACCCACTTCCCACCCCTGGGGGGGGCTTACTGCTCTGGGAGGAGCTCTTGGGTTTCCCGATGTACTTCAGGATGGGGTTCCTCCTCTTGTCCTCCGGGGCCTCCTTCTCCTTCTTGGTGCTGCTGCTCTGTTGGCCAAGAAAGAGGCATGGGGGGGGTGTCAGTTTGGGGGCCCTTCTCCAAGCACCCAGGAGATGCTCACGCGCTCCCGGGGAGTGGGGGGCCCTGGACGCCAGCCAGCCCCCACCGCTCACCTTCTTGGCCTTGGGGAAGAAGGGCAGCCACTTCTCCCTCTCCTGGGCCTGCAACTTCTCCGTGGTGCTGGCCGGGCGCGGCTCCCTCGTGCGGATTCCCACGTGGCTCATGTAGGTGCTCAGGGCAAAACTCATCGGGGAGCTGGGGGGGAGAAGAAAGCCATGCCCTGCTCTGCTGCAGCTGGGAAAAGATGCAGCTGCTGGCTACAGCCCATGCCATGTTATTTCCACACAGTGGGTCACAGGTGTGGCCCTGGGAAGGCAACCCAAGGACTGCAGGGGCCAGGGGTAAATGGCTGACGCCCAGCTCAAGCACATCCGGGCCTCCCTAGGGGTGGGTCATGTCGTGCTTTCAGGACCCTCGGAGTCCCTTCCCAGGGAAGAAGAAGAGGAGGAGATTGGATTTATACCCTGCCCTTCACAACCAAAGGAGTTTCAGAGCGGCCTACAAACTCCTCTCCCTTCCCCTCCCCACAACAGACACCCTGTGAGGTCGGTGGGGCTGAGAGAGCTCCCTCGAGGACTGCCCTTGACAGAACATCTCTGAGAGAACTTGTGACTGACCCAAGGTCACACCAGCAGCTGCACATGGAGGAGTGGGGAATCAAACCCGGTTCTCCCCAGATTAAAGTCCGCGCACTTAACCACCACACCAAACTGCAAGTGAAGGCTGTTTCATTTAATTTGGCTTCCCTCAATGAGCCCTCCTTCCTAGCCAATGTCTTCATGCTTGGTATCCATTTTACCTGTTTTGTATGGTATTTTAACCCCGTTTTCTTAACTCTTTCAAAAATTGTTTTAAAAATGCAGGACTAGAGCGAGTTTGGCAGCAAACTCATGACGAAGCGGCAAGAACATCTTATAGGATCCCGGAGAACCACTCACCTCCTGTCCTCCTCATATTTGGATCTGCAGCAAAGGGGGGAAAAGGGTTCTGCTTACTGTCGGGGCTCCCCGAACCACTCTTCCAGACCACTCCTACCAATGCACACACACACACACACACATGCAACCCCCCCCCCCCCCCCCGTGCCTTGCCTGCCAGCAGGAGCCCTCCCCCCCCTCCCCAAAGCCCCACGTCCCCTGCCTCCTCCTCCTCCTCCTCCTCCTCCCTCTCACGCACGAGTCCTTTTGGGCTTCTCTCGAGCAGAGCAAACCCGCCCTGCAGGGCAGGGGCCAGTGCTCGGTGGCAAGCGCTCCCTGGGCTGGCACTCCCAACGCCAAGCCTGCCTCTGGCACAGCCGTCTTGGCACGGAGCCACAGCCGCCCACCGGGGTGCCCGATTCTGCCCTGCTTCCCCTCCCCGGCGCTGGAATTAATGTGAACCTCAACATGAAGCAAAGCGATGGGCGAACACCTCCAAAGAGGAAAGCCAGCGGACTGCCCCCCCCGAGGATTCCCCCCAAGCCCTTTGCACTCCTCCGACTTTGAAAACCCCCCACACACACACCCAAAGCAGCAGCAGCAGCAGCAGCGCCCAACGGGCCCCTCCCTCCCTCCCTCGCCCGCACTCACAGGATTTCCCCGAGGCGAGCGATCTGCTTCTCGGCCACCTGCCGCTCCTTATGGGGGTCGCCGTCCAGGTCCATCAGGTCGTTCTCCCCGTACAAGCTCCCCAGACCCATGGTCCGCTTGGTCCTGCAGGCGCACACAAAGAGAGCGCTCCATAAGGACACAAGAGAGAAGCAAAATGTTGGATCAGGCCAGTGGTCCCTCCAGTCCAATACTCTGTGTCACACAGGGGCCAGAGATACCAGGGGCCATCAGGAGGTCCAGCAGTGGGGCGGGATGGCTCCAGTCTCCCCAGCACCTGCTCCCCTCGCTCCCCTGCTGTCCGCACCCCACAGCTCGGGGGGCCGGGTGCGACGTCAGACGAGGATGCGGACCGTGCAGCCCCGTGATGCAAATCAAGTCGAACTCCAGAAACGACGCCTGCAATGGAGGCACTCTTGAAATCAGAGGCGCCCAGTGCAAACCCCTCCCTGGCTACGGTCGGCAGCCTTCTCGGTTGGCCTCGGCCTGCCCAAACGGCACCCGCTGCAGGACCTGTACCTCAGCCCCACGGCAGCTGAGTTTCCAAAGCACCACGTCCCAGGGCACAGTTCAGACAGGCAGAAAATGCCACCCCAGCAGGCCACAGGATCACAGCCATGGGCCTCTGCTGGCTTCACCCGGGCCTCCAAGGGCCAGCCCCAGAGGGCAAAGGAAAGGGCCCAATGTTCCAAAAAGGAAGGAAGGAAGGAAGGAAGGAAGGAAGGAAGGAAGGAAGGAAGGAAAGAAGGCAGGAAGGAAGGAAGGAAGGAAGGAAGGAAGGAGCCACAGCTCAGCGGCAGAGCACCACACCTCCAGTCCAGGGATGTCACGGAGCCCATGCTTGGGGGGGGGGGGGCCCCGCGGCG